AGGATTTCATGTACAATCACGTAAAGATAGACCATTATAATTAAAAAATTTGCATCTTTTGGATATAAAAAAATTTAATATATGAATAGAGGTTCAATCCCACTGGTTCAAAATATTTTTAAAACTGGTGAAAAATATTCGGTAGTCTTTAACGAAACATTCATTGATATAGATAAATATTTTTCAATTTCGAAATAATCAATCGGTATGTGCGGCAACGTATTGAAGTGGAATAGTGTTTATTGTGGGTTGTATTTGATTAGTATTATGAAATAATCTACAATGTAGTGCTAAACGACATAATTTCAGTAATTCTATACGAAATGTCCGAGATGACATCGTATACATATAACAAGCTAATACGGGATAACAATCGACAAGTAATTCAATCATAACACCCACAAATCGTTCAATAACTAATCGATTCATTGACTTTGTTGTAGTAAGTGTGATAGCATTATAAAAAAGCCATATCATCAAAGGTGTTGTTGCAATAATATAGAGAAATACTTGAGTGAGTAATAGAGCTAGAACTTGAATGTCACGTATTCGTTGGGAATTCATTACTTCATTTATTTCATCTCTCTTTTGACGAATAATAAATTGACGACGTTTCTGTTTCAGAACAAGATTACGATAAGTAAGTAGAGTGAAAATACTCATGAATAAAATGGGAAGAATACAACCAGTGATAGTAGTAAAAATACTATGATACAATGCTGTGGCTATACTATATCGAGGACCACAGATACCATTTCTTATACTATGAAACAGAAGTATATGTACAGGTAATACTATCCAAGCCAATACGATAATAATCACAACACGACGTGCAATATATACACGAGAAAAATTTCTCAATCGTACATTAGATGATGAAAGTGCATATCGATCAAAACAAGCTGCAGTTAAACTCCATCGATACATCATAGAAGTAGATTGAATAACATAATAGCGTATCTTACAAAAAGCAATTATTGTTGTCACTGGATCTACATGATTGTATGCATATATAGCATTTCCACTACTCATAATAAGAGTAATCAACATTGTTATCGATGCTAATATAAAATCTATACAAATAAATAAGATTCATTGGAAAAATATTTAAATAGATTAAATTACTCACATAACCGACAGGACACGGTGTGGAATTGTGGCCGAGAAAATAGTAAAACATTCAAACAGCAACCAACGACACCAAAAATAAGGAATACCGAAGATATATAACATGCGATTGTTTGTTGAACAACAAACAGCATATCATTGAGTGACATGGATGTCGATGACATTTAAGAAATTTCAATCATACTAAACTAAACAATAGTTGATAGTCGTCCGTAAATAATTCTTCACTTTTATTTTTTACATTAATCGACCTTTTCGAAACTATGACAATTCAGTGAAAAATATTATGAATATCTTTACAGAAATAGAAATTAGAATAAAAAAAATATTCTGCATATGTATTTATATTGCTGACTTACTTCCTAGAAGAAATATGAAGAAGATAATAAACAAAAAGAATATGTCTGTTATAAATTAGATATTAAATCTTATTAATTATCTATAGTTGTAAAGAAGAATCATACTCTATAATATAACGACAAATTACACATTGTAGATTAAGAATTGATTGAGAGTAATAATATGAACAGAAATAGAAATATTTTTCTTTTATCTTATTTAATTATAATATGCGAGTCACACAGGTGAATTAATCTTATTCAACACGTTTGGTATTATCTTATTGATGAAATAATAATTATAATCGTTCTCTTTGAAAAAAATGTTTTCAGTAATGATTTCTTGATGAAATATAAAGGTAAATGTCAATACTTAGAGATTCATATCTATGTTTTAAAGATTAAAATCAAGATAAACTATTATTTTCTCAAAGCAAAAAATTAATTCTTTACGTATTTCCACGATCTCAAACAGAACAATTTTTTCTCAAGTTTTTTGAGGGTGTGGGTTTATCTAATAATATCTATATTTTCATGTTAGGAGAAGAAAATATCTTATTTTTATTAATAATCTTGACATGTGAAAGGAAATAGGTGCAGGTGAATGACTTCCTCTTTCTTACAATAATATTTTCTTAGTAAACTCATTGAAAATAAATGATTATTTAATAATAATAACAATGACAAATGTAACATTATCAAATAGTTATGTGATCTATTTAAGTTTAGTTCTTAAACAATTGACTTTGAGTCTAATCATTCCATTAATTCTAGGCGTCGTAGGAAATTTGTCATCATGCATTGTATTTCGTCAAAAACAATTTCGTTCAAATGGTATGTCACTTTTATTTACAGCTGCATCGATCTTTAATATTATTGTACTTGTTTATGGTATTGGTACGAGTCTCTATGCTCTCGATCATATTAGTCCCGATACATATTCAATTATTTTCTGTAAAATACGTTTATATCTTCGACATATTTTCTTGATGATTGTTCGTAGTTATATAATACTCGCTTGTGTTGCTGCTTTTGCACTATCTTCTTCCAAAACAAAATTTCGTTCATTATGTCAACCACGATATGTTAAATGGTCAATATTTGGTGTACCTTTTGTTTGGCCATTGATTGCATTACATATGCCATTGTTAACAATTATTGAAAATAATCAATGTATTAATATTGATTCTTATATATTTCCATTTGCAATATATTTTTTTCTTATTGTTGGTGTTATTCCAGTGTTTCTCATGACTTTATTTATTTTCTTAACAATTAGAAATTTACGTTTATTACATAATCGTATTCAATCATCTATTGCTACTCCTGTCAAATTCAAACCACGTGATCGACAATTTATACGAATGCTTTCAGCACTTGTTCTAATGTATATTTCAACCAATCTTTTCTATCCTACTAATGTTCTATACTCGGCGATAACACATTGGACTTATAAAAGTCCCGAACGTATCGCTATCGAATCAATTATTTCGTCTGTGACTAGTAATTATATTCTATATATAAACAATGTGTCACCATTCTTTCTCTTTATCACTTCCTCAATTGCTTTTCGACGAACATTTTCTCATCTTATTCATAGATACATACGACGTCTTGTAACTAGAAGTCGTCGGATACATCAAACGCTAGTTACTATGATATCAACAGTATAAAATATACTCGGACGAATAGTTTTTATGATATCTCCATGTTATTGAACAATGTAGGTTAGTGGAATGATGAAATGATCTTGTTGGTTATTCACACACTCTGATAAAGATTAATTTCAATATGAAACATCGTTATAAACTGAGTACACTGACCAACCAATAGAAAGCAAGTGCGTTCTATGCATCGGTCAAGGGGTCATCTACAGAATACATTCCGTGACTTATAGATATGAAAAGGGAAAAAACGCATCTAAGCATCCTATGTTCATTATTTCTTTTTTTTCTTCTTGGTACACATATTCTCTTCAGACAATATGTCATCTTCGTTTCCTCCTGTAAGAATCAAAGAGTATTTAACTAAAGAACCTAATTGTATCATTAAAACGCTGATTACTTTCTGTAATATTGTTGGCATCATGTTAGCAGCTGCTGGTTTGAAAGAATTATATAAATCACATACATTTGTCTTTCATCATTGTCAAGTTAAATCAATTGATGTCAAAATAATAAAATCGGGTTATTATCCACAATGGAATATTACAGTATTCCATGAAAATCAAACAAAAGATGATAATCTTATTGCATTACATGGGTCATTTTTAAAAAGTCAAGCATGGAATAGAGCAAATCAATATAAAGTAAAAAAGAATTAAATCTTTTTACAAGATTAGTGTTTTTCATTCTTATTAGATCAATGAAACATATCCATGTTATCATGCAGAAAATGATATATCTATTATTAATTGGGGTTGGCAATGGGATAAACCGTCGAGATTCAAGGCAAATATTTGTTTATTCACTGGAATAACGTTAATATCGATTGGTGCAATGATTATTTTATTGAAAAAACATTATCGACAAGAAATTCAGCCAAGAAATGTTTAATAAACCAATATATGTCAGTTCTAATTTATTAATATTTGTTCAAAATCTTTTTGTTTATTTCAATAAATCCATAGAAATGAGAGAAAGTGAAAAAAACAATAGATTCTTTTATTATATTTTTCAGTTTTTTACATAACAATTTTCCTTTTGTTATTATCGTTTTAATCTCATTCATTCACACTCACACCCACACCCACACCCACCCAACCACACCCACATCCAAAATATTTTTTATCGTTCTAAAATGGTCAACTAGTGGGAACGACCAAATTACTCAGTCTCTTGGAGAAGAAGCTGTTTATTGATATAAAATTCAGGAATGAATTGAACTTCTAATGCATCATTAAAAAGAGCACGCTTTGTACTAAAAGAATCATTATCGGACGTGCTTTCCCATTCTTCATCTAATATAAAGAAACTGACAGAAAATAGAAAATGATATTGCTCGATCGTGAAGTTGCAAGAACGTTTTTAGATATGTTTGGTTTTTAGCTTTTCTTTCAGTTCAGATCCGTTTTGAAATAATATATCCCCTACAAAATTTGTAGTTCAGACAGACAGACATTACTCTTTTTAACAAAAAAAGTTGTATTGATTCAAAAGTTAGCAATATTGTCTAACAGAGTTTGACATTTTTCTAAAAACTTTTGTATCGTTCATTATATTATCTTGTTATTGTTTTTATTTATTATACAAAACGTGTTTTTTATTTAGATCAATAATGAAAAACAACAATAAAAAAAATGAAAAATAAAAGTTTTTTATTTGAAGTGATGAAAACGATCTTTTTTCTTTCGAGATCATTAATCATTCGTTCAACGAGATCTTTAAATTCGAATGTATTAAAAAAATTGAATTTTTTTGCTTTTTCAAGTAAATCTTTTTGTTGATCATCACTTTTATATCGATAATAAACTAAATCATTTTGATCACGTTTTAAAAATCGAATATCAGTTAAACTTAAACCAATATCTTTTTGTCAAGGTTGTAAATAATTAATTAAATCTTTATATAAAGTTTCATATGGAATTGTTAAACCTTTTTCTGAGGCATCTAAAGCTCTATCATCAATTTCTGCTTCAACTGCAGCAAGTCTATCACAGACTTTCTCCCATGATGAATGTCCTAATCAATGATGAAAAACAGGTTTGACATAATATTCAACATAGAGACTTGCAATTTCATTGGCTATGAGAAGACCATCAGTAATATTTTGTTTCGAATTAATATCTTTCATTTGTTCAATTAATTCATTTGTTGTTTGTTCAACTTTTTCAAGACGTTTAACTGTTGAATAAAATACTAAAACATGTTGTTTAAATATATCCAATATTTGTTTTAAAATATTGTGCATTTCATTTGGATTTATTTCAATTGTTGTAATCTTTATTAAATCATTTTCCATTTGCTGCAAAGATCATTTTAGATTAAAATTATTTCAGACAGAAATAAAAGAAGGGGATTCGAGCTTCCGTGTTCGAACTGAACACATCCTCAGGAATCACATTGTGAAATTTATTAGAATTAAATGAAATTAAATTTACGAAAAGATAATACGATACTAGGAATTAAATTGATGTTGTCGTTGTTATTGTTGTTATAAATGAAGTTGTCATTGTTGTTATAATTATGATATTATTAGCTATTGTTATAAGTTATAAAAGAGAAAGAAAAATAAAGAAACATGGCAAAATATTAAAGTAAATGAAACAGTTAAATTAAAAATAGCTAGGGTGTGGGTGTGGTGGGTGTGAATAGTTTGACAATGCATTACTCACACCCACACCCACACCCTTTGATTTTAGAAAAGATAATTGAACTAAATAAATCAAAAGAGAATATGAAATGCGTATGAGTGTCTCTCGTTCATTCACACTCACACCCAGTTTTCTTCTTTAACTTGATGTTGAAATACTTGTTTTATATAGTTGATTTTTCTTAGGTCAGCAAAAAGATCTTTTAGATTATTTACCAAAATATTCATCATACGTTACGCTCATAAATTCTTTTTAAAAATTGCTTTATATTAGTAAATTTGAAAAGAATAAGTTTTCTTGATTATTTTGCAAAAATATTTATTTTTCTCTGTTTTCTTATTTATAATAACTATTAGAAAAAAGAATAAATAAAATAGTTTAATTGCCAATTCGAAGAATTAGAATTATTTTTGTGCAATAATAATCATATCTTCACTATTTTCTGTATAAGAAGTTTTATTCCAATCACCATATGCTTCAATTGATGTGAATCCAACTTGTTTACACATAGATACGAATTCTTCGAGTGTATAAACTCGTACAGAATAATCTTTTCGTATTATTTTGCCAAATTGATCTTGTATAATCCAAGCTCCATGTATTCTTTTATCTTGTGGATTATATTTATCAATAATTCTTAATGTTTTTTGAGAATGAAGATGTCTAATTTCATCTTCTTTATATTGACCAGATAGAATTCGTGGAATATTTACATCAGTATGAAACAAAAGTTTTCCACCTGGTTTTAATGCATTATAAAAATTTCGAAGAACTTTATTATTTTCTTCATCACTTTCAAAGAATCCAAATGAATAAAACATATTAATAACAGCATCAAATTCTTTATCAAAATTAATATCAATCATATTCTCTTTGATAAAATTAACATTAACACCAATTTTTTGAGCATCTAAATTAGCTTTTTTTAAAAGAACTGAATTTATATCAATTCCAGTAAGATTAAATCCTTTATTTGCTAAATTAATACTATGTCGTCCATAACCAGAAGGAATATCTAAGATTTTTTCTTTTCCTTTTAAATTTAATAGATTAATAATTCCTTCTACTTCTGTATTTGTTCTTTCTTCAAGAGTTTGTTGTTGACCAATAAGATAACCTTCAATAGAATTATCACCTTCCATATAATAATCACCAAAAAAACCATATTCTTCTGTCCACCATTTTGGCTCACAATCTACTTCTTCCATGTTATCTGCAATAAAAACAATACTTGAAAATAATAGTTTATTCTTCGGTCTATGATACTATGTTTAAATGGAACTTTACTAGTTCTCAATTGTCTCCACACTAATTCCTATAGTTCGCGAAGAAAAAGACGTAATGAGTCGATCAATCGATCATTAACTATTTCGTGCTTTCTTTCAGCTTTTCAGCTGAAGAACGATAAGTATGATATAGGTCGTTATGTAAATACTGTCTCTTATAATGTATACCATTAACAAATTTAAGAATAAATTCATAGAAGAAAATCTACATACTTTTCGTTAAGTATTGATAATATCGTTGAAGACGTTGATTTTGTTGTATAAAAGACAAATTTCGAATACATTTATATATATATATATAATAGAAGAAACGTCACTTCCGATGTAACATAAGTTATATGTTATCTCTTTTCTTGGAATAATCAAAGTTGGAATAAATCATATATTTTGCTTTCTTTCTGCGCAAACGCACTCAAAAAACCAATAACGTCATTCTCTTTTCTATTGGAAACTTTCGAAAGATAACGATAGAACGCAAAATATAATCTTTCATTCTGCTTATTCTTCAAGGTATTAACAAACGTCGTCTTAGTTTAGTCAATATCGATATAAAGGAAAAAAAATCAATGCAAAAATATTTCCAACAATCGTAAATTTCTTTTTCAATATCGTGTTTCATGAAACAATAAATAATCATGTTGGAAAAAAATGGTGATGCTAAGCCACCTATTTTTATTGTGCTCGTTGTTGATGAATCATAAAAAATCGCTTTTTTATAATTATTACTCAGTGATTGCATTCGATCGTATTTTTTTGAAACAGAACTAAAAAGTATCTCAGATTGAATCGATTGAGTTTTGAAAAATTTCCAAAGCCAAAAAAGGCTCAAATTTACTATAATTTAGTGAAAAAATTAGTTCCATCAGTTCAAGGAATGAACACCGTACATGAGAAGAGAAACTATGGTAGTAATGAAAATGTCTTTTGCTTGAGACAAGATTTACTTTCGCTCGGTGATAAACATCATCGACACACAATGAATCTTCTTCTCTTACGAGATACTACACAATTCCATTATTTGGCTTTTAGTAAAACGAAAATGATTTTATTCTTATCAAATAGTATCATGTTGCATCATGAATAGAAATCAAAAGGAAGTAGAAAAGAAATATGAGACTTTAAAATAGATAAGATCATCTATAAAAATGTGGATTTATTGACAATAGTTGTTTACTTATATTATGGTACTTCGAGAAGATTATTGCCGAGACGCTAGGAACATGTTTTATTATTGGCTATTCATTTTTATGATCGGTGGAATAAATGGTGCAATGAATGTTGATCGATTAGCACGATGTATCATGTCCGAAGCATCAATTGGTAATAGCATTGAACAAACAGCTATCGGTTTTGCTTGTCAACGAAATTTAAAACATGCTTCCAATCAACGTCCAACGCCTAAGATCACTCAACTAGCGAAAGATATTCTAGAAGGAAGAGTACATGATCCAACTAGAGGAGCAAATCATTGGTATTCACCCTACTCAATGCCAAAGGAGAATGAAGAAAGAAAATGTACGCGACCTATTGGCACTGGTCATATGGATTGTAAAGGAGGACTGGAGCAAGCTTGTGATAGAAAAAAGAATTATAAACCAAGTTGGGCTGATTCTAACAAACAAGTAGACATTTCAGGTGTGCGCGCCTGTCGTTACAAATTTTTTAAACTCTAATCTATCGAATGAACTTTTTTTAATGCTTTTATTTATTAGTCGCTTCGCTCAAAAAAGAGAGTAAAAAAAATCCAAATATTTTTTAGTTGGGGTGTGGGTGTTTCTGTATTCTATTATACTCACACCTGCACCCACATTCACCCCTTCCTATAAATATAGATAGAAAGATATGAGTGAATTTTCTAAGATTAACTTATTGCATATTATACTATCGATAGTTTGTTTTATATTTGCATAAAAACTACGATCATTTGATCCTAATAGTACATGACAAAGCAAAAGACAAAAAACATATAAGATAGAGTACGATAGACGACTACATGAAAAACAACATAAAGTTCTAATAAATCAAAACTATAGGATAAAGGCACAGACAAAACATACATTTCACTAAAGAAAGAGAAGTAAAACATGATGAGGAAAATTGTGAAAAAGTTCTGTGTTCAATTAGATTATGTATCAAGAAGAAAAACAGAACGTAAATGAGAATACCGTCATCACGCATAATGTTTATATAATATTTTATATTCATAGTTGTTTTTTTTATAAATAATCGTAGATATGTATTATATGTGATAACAAAAAAATATATTCTCAATCAATATTTGTAAGATTACTCATTGGTATTAGTAGCAGCTGCTTGTCTTTGATTCGATGGAACTAATGTAGCAACACGATTTTGTCTGAATCGTTTTAAAAAAATATTTTTTAATTGTGGTGTTGTCATTATCATTTCTATCGTTAATATAGCTACAGATATTTCAACACCTAACCATAAAATCCGGTACGTTAATGGATAGTCAATTCCACCTAAAAGTTTCATTAATATTAAAATTGTACCTGGTATAACAAGAATAAGTAATACAAAAATATTAATACAAATTCTCTGAATAGCAATTAAATCTCGTTTTTGTCGACGTCTCATTGCTATTGGTTGATTAGTTGGTAGATGACGAATATATATTATTATACGAATATATATTAGAAATAAAATCATAAGAGGAATTGCATAAGTTGTAAATACAAGCCAAATCATGCCACGAGCTTTACTTAATGGAACAAAACAATAATTATCTTCAAATGAATAATCAATATCTTTCCAAATTAATATAGGACATAAAAGAACAGAAGCAAAGATTAATTCAATAGGTAAGAAAAGAACATAAAACCAAAAGAATTGAAGCCATCGACGAGTTGAATAGACAATACGACAAAGACGAAAAATTGCCTAAAAATATTCAAATGAAATATAGATTTCGATTAATTCGAATTACTTGAATAACAAAAGTTTGATATAAAGCAGAACATGAAATAGGAATAAGATAACCTCGAAATGTACACCAAGATGAATTAAAATTCATTCCATATAAATCACCTAAGATTGTTTGAATATTAAATGAAGTTAATGTTAAAATATAAATAAATAAATAAAAATAAATTGTTGTAAAAAGAAAAAGATTTATTCTTTCTTCTTTTTGTGTACTCAAAAAGTGAGTACACTTCTAGAATCGGTCAGTGTGTCCGTCCGTCCGTCCGTCCGTCCGGCCGTATACACGATAACGTTTGAAAGAATAGTCCCATTGAGCTGAAATTTTGTACACAATTTAGTCTCATATAGATCTCGGTCGAGTTCGAAGATGAGCCTAATTGGCCTGACCATTCCCGAGTTATTGAAAAAATACTGATATTTCCCTATGATTTTTCTATATTTTTTTGGGGGGAAAAATAATATAATGCCATTGTTGTAAGCAATTTTTCTACTAGAGTCAAATAAAATTCCACTTATTATGAAGCATTCAATAGAGAATTTTACAAGCTACAAGATGGTACTAAATTATAGGGGTAAACGGGTTGCACACAAGATTGTCCCTGTATAATAGGGTGATTAAACTATAGAAAACTCATATATGTTGATAATGTGTCAGTGCGATATTTGTTTGTTTTTCATATTACTAATAACACTTTTTCTAGAGTAGATAGAACTCATCAAGAGCTTGAAAATGATGTAAAATAATAGGGGGTAGATATGCTGCTTTCGATATGCCTTTACTATCACACTTGTGAAAAACCATGAAAAAGCCATATAACTTAATAGTGTGTCTGTGTGATATTCGTTTGTTCTCCGTAGAGTCAACGTTATTTTTATGTACTCGAAAAGTGAAGTTCACAATAGATTGATTTTGATCAATCTGTCTAAAAGAATTCATCCTTGAGCGCACTAAGGAACTGCCCTTTAGTCGGGTGTGGGTGCTCTCTTTTTAGTGTACTCAAAAAGTGAGTATATTACTAGAATTGATCAGTATGTTCGGCCAACCGTTTACATGATACCTTGCGAAAGGAGAGTCAGATATTGATAAAATTTTATACACAATTTAGACTCATAAAGATCTCAGTCGAGTTCGAAGTTGAGCCTAATTGGACGAGCAATTCCCTAGTTATTACAAAAATACTGATATTTTCCTATGATTTCCATATACACTTTTTGCAGTACACATAACTCTCGGATACAATCCGAAGTTTCCACATTTATTTTAATTCATTTTTATATTGATAAAAAATAAGAAGAAGAAAAATCAAAATTGAAATAAAACTTCCAAATGAACCATGAATTAATGAAATTAAACTCAACACGAAACCAACAATTCCATCTTCCATTATTACAAATAGATTCAACTAATATTAAAATACATTCATTTATTTTATTTTCTTAAAGAAAAAAAGGATGACAGTCAGTGTTGACAACTGTCATAATTAGAAATCCGGATTATTTAGTAAAATTTTGTTAACAGTCGATGTTTGTCGAGTAAAACAAGTTTCTATAGATATTCTTAGTAATTAAATTTCTCATTATAAAATAAGAAAGATATACACAAACTCATAGACACCTAATTTTCACTATTAATTAATAAGATTGTTGACGAAAGATTTTTAAACTAGAATAAACAAATTCTAATAAAAAGCTATAAACTATTCATTCGTCAGAATGAATAAAACAAAATCTATTTTAAAAAATCATAAAAAATACAGAATTTTTCTGAAAGGGTTGACAGCACTGACGTTAGTACTTCAAATGTCATGTTCAGAAACTGTGAGTAAGATTAAGTATTTATTAGAATTAAACTTCAAATTTGATGTGTTTTTGATGAATGATGAAAGCAAAAGAAATCCACTGTCTCTCATACACAATGTTTATCGTGTTGAAAATAAATCTGGAGATATAAATAACTATATAAACAAAAATCTTTTCATTTATTATTATAATCTGATTCGAAGATTCTATTATATAGAATAAAATTATTATTTTTACCATGATTGATTTTTATATAAAATCATCTTAAAAGTAAGATATAAGATTTCCTTTCGTTTCTTCTTTTACTTTTTCTTATATCGATATGATAATGAGGACAAACGTTTGTCTAATGTCAATATATGTGTTGACAGATGGATGAAGAAAACCTGGAACATTATTTACAGGAAAATTGTAGTTAAAAAAGATGAAAGACTTGTTCACAGATTTTCTTGTTTACATTATTTTGGTTTTACAGAAGTTTCATCACATAGAGTTACTCTCCCGTATTATGATTTTAACACTATAAAAGATAAATTTATTACTAAATAT